CTTCATAAGAAGTATTCAAGTCTTTACAATGATGACTAGAAACCACCATACTTACCAAGATATATGCAGCCAAAACCTCCTTGGCCAATAGGCAGCCCTAATTTCCATTGCTTTTTAGACATATCGGTTATGACTTCCCCAGCGGCAAACTGCTCTGCAAGGCGCCTCTTTGCAGGACCCTGTCTCCCAGCCTGAGCTGCTTTTACACGTGGCATTTTCTCTGCAATTCAAGAAGAAAAAGCAACTTTGCTGACAATTGAAACCTTGGAGGTGTTCACACCACCCACCACCCCACACACAACACACACACCGAAGGCATCTCCTCAGCAAGGGCTGTTCAAGACAAAGAGAAGGATATCTACTAATTCTGATATGTAACAGCTAGGATCCTGTTTGGCTGTTGCTAAGCTTTGAGGAGACCAGAAATACAACGATCTATGCTATGATAGAAAGCATTTTAAGTCCCAGTGACATATCATCTATGACTAAAATACTAGTTAGTTACAAACAACAAAACAAGAACTGATTTGAGCAACTGAGGAAAGGCAAGCAATTAGAATGCGCACCACCTAGTAATGCAGCCAAGAGTCCAAGCACAGACACTACAATCCCAATTAAGTATGGATAAGGTGGGAGGACAGGACATTTGGGCACAAGGGTAGGTATCAAGTAGGAAGGCTGCACCAACACCATTTACAGGCTCCGCAGAAAAGTGATACACAACACCAGCTAGTCTTGACCAACCAATGTGTCCCTTCTTCCTGAGCACAAGTGCAATAGAATGAATGCTCTGGGGAAACCGTTTTCCTGGGGAAGAGCATGACTAGAATCAAGAACTTTGGACCCCAAGTATGTAAGTGGCTAGCTGGGAAATTTGGTCAAAGCACATCTCTCTAAGCTTCAAATGCACTCAGGTGTAACTCACTGCACCAAGTACAATTTTATGCGCATACATAGAAGTTAGCTGCATGACTTCAAATTCTTCCTTCTATAAATACTAACTCAAAAGATTTCCTTAAGATTCTATGGTTCCGCCAGTTGTGCTGGCGCACACTGGTAGAATTTGCTAAAGGAGATAGAGGCAGGAGGATCATGTGTTCCCTAAAAACAGAAGAAGACATAAAGCAGAGAGAAGGGAGCAACTCAACAGTCTGGCCTGCAACACTTAGAATGCTATTTCAAATAGGAGTCTGTTAAGTAACATACTGAACCCAGATATACTAAACACACTATATTAAAAGACTTGTTTTCTTGGGATTAGAAAGATGGTTCAATTGTCAAGAGCACTGGCTGTTCTTTGGAGGTCCCAGGTTCAATTATCAGTACCCACAAGGTGGCTCACAACCATCTGTAACTCTAGTTCCAGGGGATCCCGTTCCCTCTTCTGGCTTCCTCAGGCACCAGGCACACGAATTGTATAGACATGTGGGCAAAACACTTATATACATAAGAAAAATAAACATTAAAAAAAATAGTGATTTATTTTCTTGTTTTTTTTTTTTTTTTTTTAAATCATGTGTAGAATGTCTGTGTTGGTATCTGAGGAGGCCAGGAGAATGGGATCTCTCAAGCTGGAGTTACAGTTGGTTAAAAGTCACCTGACATGGGGGCTAGAAACCAAACTCAGGTCCTTTGCAAGAGCAGTATACACTCTTAACTGCTAGACTAACTCTCTAACCCTAACCCCCACCCTCACCACACACACACACACACACACACACACACACACACACACACACACACATAATTATTTTTATTTGCATCGGTGTTTCTCAGGTATGTATGCCTGTGTGAGGATGTCAGACTTGTAGTTTCAGACAGTTGTTAGCTGCCATGTGGGTGCTGGGAATTGAACCCAGGTCCTCTGGAAGGGCAGTCAGTGCTCTTAACGACCGAGCCATCTCTCCAGCCCCAGGAAGGACTTTTCTTGATTGAGTTATTTGAGTTGGGAAGACCTACTCTAAACCTGAGGCACACCTCCTGGTGGCAGCCCGTGTAAAAGGGCATGTAAGAAGGAAGCATTTGCTTTTTGCCTTCTTGTTTTCAGTCTCACTGGCAAGTATACCTATCCTGTTGCTGAGACATTCCTTTGCTGGTATTAGAACTTACATCTTCAGGATTCCAACATATACTAAAGACCAGCAGCTCTCTAGGACTTCCCTGGAACTCCAGCACCAGCCGGGAGGAGATGTTGAGACATCCAGTCTTCTCTTTCCATCAGGAGACAGTCACTGTGGGACTACTCAAACCACACCTGCAAGCCATACTAACAGTCTCTTTTAATATACACATTCATTCTACCAGTCCTGTTTCTTTAGAGAACCCTAAAGCTGATACTTTATTAACTGATGGGGAAACTTCTAAATCTAACTTTTCCCCTAAAAATCACTTTGTGCATTTTCCCAATTCCAAACTTCTCTGAGTTGAAAATCATCTTCAAAGCAAAGGAACTCGGTGCTGGCATTTCCTCAGATCAGTTCTCTTAAGGTGCTTTTAGTCTGTGCTGAAACCTTGCCCAGCAGACTGTTAGTGACAACCATGGCAACCAGGACTCAAAACACCAAGAAAAGATTAACTTCTGCATCTCAGAGGCAACGCCACTAGAAGAATTAACTCGAACACACAGCAGTCCCCAGCACTAACATGGTTTTTTTCTAAACTTCATCCAGCTTCATCAAATCACAGCAATTTCCTATTTGATTATTTCCTTATACTTGTCAGAATCGTTTTCAATGACTTTAAAACTCTTCTTTCTATAACTCAAGCATCTGGACAAATGTTTTTTTTCTAGAATTCCTTTCCACAAGCAATAAAAATACCATACTGTAAATTAAATCTGCCTCAGCATTATTTCATACAGATTTATGGTAAATAAAGTGTTGTGTATTTTTTTTTCTCCAAATACAACTACTAGCTCTTATTTTTAATTTCACTTAGAGCCAGCTATTTGGAGCTTACTGTGATAATTAAGATCAGGAATGCCACACCTAGAACTAGCCATGGGGGCTGTGAAGCAATCTCTCCCCTCTACACCCTCAAACCACACAGGAAACTCAGAGCCCGAGGATAACATCCACAGCAAAACTGGGAAATGCTTTCCTGTCTCCACAACATAAAGTAGGTGGTACCGACAAGACTATACATACAACTCTCAAGACCTCAGCTCAAGAAGATGCTGCAGCTACAGTCAAAGTGAGCTTCATAAGGAAGGCTGCGTGTGTGAGAACACAAAACTGAACACAGAGAACAGCGCTCAACCATGTGCAACTGAGAAGCCTTGTCCCACTCAAGTGATGGGAGGGGGCGCTTTAAGGGACTATGGGATGGACACAATATAGACACCTATGACTATTTCAAAATAAAATAGAAGTGGCAGCTGGGTGTGGTGGTTCTGTTACCTAGAATACTGTGTATAAATGTGGAATGGCACACAGGAGACCAGTAATCTCTCACTGATCCTTCCACAGATTATCCATGTTATTCATGGTCAAACAAGGTCCAAAAAAATCTAAATGCAAATTTTCAGAAAAAAAACAATTCATAAAGTTTAATATTGTGTGCCATTCTAAGTGCTGGATGCATCCAGAGACATCACTCTGCCTAGCCCTTTGCGTGGGCACCCCCCCTTTGTCTAGTGCATCCCCACTATGTATGATGCCCTTGCACAGTTATAGAAGCCATCTCAGTTACCAGAGTAGCTGTACTATCGCAGTGCTCGTGTTTAAGTGGTACAGTCGACAGCTCTCCACTACCTGACAATACTTGGTCTCATTAAAGGGGCAACATTCCCATCCCACGAGAACAGTGAGTATAGGAGATAGATGTCTGAGAAAGGGAAACCACAGGCACCTCACTTATCAGACACTCTGCTGACTGCCATTACTCTTACTCCACTCAGCTTATAAAGTAAAGCAGGATCTATATTATATACAATGGTCAGCAGTGTGTAGGATCCACTCCCAACCATGGTTTCCAGGATCCACTGGGATCTTAGAGTGACTCCCCTAGAGTAACAGAGGACTGCTATAATTAGGTGACATCTTTAATCGATTATTCCTTTGTTCCTTAAATCACAAATGTGAAAAGGAGACAGAAATGAGACGTACATTTTAAAATGCTGTACTTGAACTTAACACAGGTATATAACTGAAGCCTAGTGCTCCTGAGTCAAAAGCAGAAGGATCAAGAGATCAGAGCCTACCTAGGCCACAAAGACAAATCCATATTACAAAAAAAAAAAAACTTTACTTGAAATTACCTTTTATGAAAAGTATACACATACATATACATACACAAGCCTTCATATTTAGCAACCCCACCCACAAAAAAGTATAGAAACAATAACCAATCCAGTAACTTAATTATACGCATTCCCCAGCATATGAACTTTATTCTTGAAATACTATTTCCATTAAAAGAAACCAGCCTCAGGCTAAGAGCTCAGTAACATATTTGCCATGCAAGCATGAGGACCTAAATCTTAACTCCCAGGACACAGGTGAAAAGGCTGGCTGCTGTGGCATGCACTGGTCACCCAGACACAGAGGAGGCAGAGACAAGCCAGCCAACCTAGCTTAATCCCAATGAGACCCTGTCTCAAAGAAGGGGAATGGCTCCTGAGAAATATCACCAGCCATGGACCTCTGACCTCAGACACATGAGCCCACAGAGCCTCTTCCTACTATCACAAATGTCCCTTTCCTGGTATGTACTTCAGGAACCTTTGGTGAATTCTATTGTGCCAGCTCTGTCTGAGCTCTAGACCCTCCACCACACCTCCACGTCTCTGTCTGACCATCACTGCCCTGGAAAACCTTCTTCCTTTCCAGTTAAGAGTAATAGCAAGTCTCCTAGTTTCTGAGAACAGGGAAACTGGGTATCAGTCTACTGTTGCTTTAAGGGCAATTTCTGAAAAATACAATTTCTTTAGGCAAAAACCCCTGCTCACTAACATAACATAACCAAAAGTAATTGTCTTAGCACACTGGCGAGTGTTCAAAGAACTGCAGACACTGTGCTCACACACTAAAACTGGAGCCATACAGAGATTAGCATGGCCCTGTGCAAGGGTACCATGCAAATTCATGAATCATTCCATATTTTTTTCTGAGGAGTGGAGGACGGGTGGTTGGGGGAGGAGTGGGGGAGCGGGAAGAGGGGAGGGGGGCTGTGGTTGATGTAAAATGACTAAAGAATTTAAAATAAAAAAAGAACTGCAGACACTAATTTAATTGAACAGCTACGTAAGTACATTAGAGGTGTCTTCTAATAATGAAACCAATCCCAGCACAGAGGTTTCCACTAAGGAATACACAGAACTTGTAAGAAAGTTTCAATCTGTGTAATTTCAGTACACTCAGCTCAAGCCTACAGAAATAACAGCCGATGAAATAGAGAGAAGAAAGTCGGTTCATCATGGCATGATTGTTACATAATCTGACCATTTCTTTTCCCTTTGATTCTAAAGGAAATGCAGATGTAACTGAAAAGCACATCAAAATGCAAATCCACACTGCCCTTTGCTGAAATCACCCACTGTTACATTCTATATTAGCATATTCACCAAAATTTAATTGTAAACAGAGTGATTATAGTACTAAAGTTATTAAATATACAAAGCAAGCTTGGAACCATACATATTCAAAGAGAGTTTCAGCGGCAGATCAACTTTTATTTCTGAAACAATACCCTAATTAATAGTCAGTTCTGATGATAAAATGGCCCTCAGTTTTTTCAGATAACAGTCCAAAAAAGTTCCCTATGAATATTAAAAAAGTTTTATGAATAGATCTAAAATCTCAATGGCTATATTTATCACAATACGATACTGTACTTAGGTAACTGGCATTTTTTCAAGTCCTGGATTCAAATTTGGTGAGGTTTTTTGGTTTTTTTTTTTGTTTTGTTTTGTTTTGTTTTGTTTTTTGTTTGTTTTTTTTGTTGTTGTTGTTTATGCTAGAGAATGGGTAAAAAAGCTTGAATGAATCACAATGACACTTACACTCACTAAGCTCTACAAATTCACAGCCACACTGGGAAGTCACAGTATAGTGTGATGTTCACTACAGACTGCATGACTACTCGTAAATTTTCCCTAAAATAGGTATGAATAAGCTCCTTTAGAGGGTTATATATTTTCATGAAATTTCCTTTAAAGCCATAAACTTCCGTGATGTGTACAGAGATCCAGGAGAACTTACAGCCTGTCTTTCCATCACCATGGTACCAAGACCTCTGCACTAGCCTTTCTCCCACACACTCTTCCTGTACACATTTACTGAAACTGTCCCCTTTCCCAAAGTGACTACCTCTCACAGCACATGGTAAATCCCCCCTATGTATATAATAAGCTCCCTGGATGCAGGAACAAATTTCTACAGAAAGCAAAATGTCCCTGCTTTCACACGCAAGTACCTGATCTGATGCCCAGGTTCAAGCTCACGCACACAGCAGACTGCAGTAGGCACCAGCAATCCTTTCAAAGGCTCAGCAACTGCTCTCTAAATAAAATGATGATGTCAAACCCTTTGTTTTTGCTTAAAAATCCCAATTCCCCTTTCCAAACTGTAATTCTCAGCAAATGATGCAACAGCCTACTTTACGAAAAGAACACAAGTTTCAAAATGAAACATCCTTATCATTCTAAGACGCAAGCATACTTGCACTCACTTCACATCCAACTTACTGTCCAGACCTGGCCTCCTCTCCTGTCACAGCAGATGAAGCCCTCCCATTCCCTGCAGCTCACCTTCCACCCTGTAACCTGTAACACACATTTAGAAGAGTCCCATGTGTGGTTTTACTGGAACAATGTGCTGTGAGATGACCAGAGCCAGAGACAGGCAGTGGGTAGAAGGGAAGCCTGGCTGGGTTCAAAGGGTGCCTGGCAGAAGTGCTGAGGGCTTAGGAGCACATCATGGGAGATGATGGGAAGGCACATTTGCATCTTGGGCTGTGGAGGAACTTAGCAAGCGTGGAGCAGTTCTCTCAGTGCCCGGGTTAGAAGGAGCCTTCTCGCTGGCCTAGTCTTTGCACATTTTTCAATGTTTTACTGTCTTCTTGCTAATATATACAAATTCATTTTCAACATACACTCTATCTATAAAAATGAATATAGACAATCTTGAACCCAGAGTCATAAATGCTCTATAGTGCCACTGTCGCAAGGCACACTGAGGTGGGAATCAGGATATAGGGGGGCAAATTCCACTCATAAGAGGCAGAAGGCAGGACTAGGCCCTGTCTCCTTTAACAAAGTCAACGGCTGTAACTGAACAGCATTACTACAGGGACGAACTTTTTACAGTGTACACCCATCTGCCTGAAGTCATAATGAAGACTGCTGCTGCTGTCCTGTCCCTTGTCTGTGCAGTCTTTGGTCGCCACTGTCCTTGCTGCCGCACTGACAGCACACTGTGCCAGGAAACAAACCATGATTTTTAAAATTTAAGTGCTGGGCTTGCTAATCTATGTTCACTACTGCTCTATTCATGAAACCCAGAAACTAGAAATAGCCTAGATGTGTCAGTAGATGGATGGATAAAGAAAATGTGGTACATTTGCACAATGGAATCTTATTTAGCTGTTAAATATAAATAATATATATACATATATGCGTATATATTATATTATTATTATTATTATTATTATTATTATTATTATCATCATGAAATTAACAGGTAATTGGATAGAGCTAGAAAAAAATCATCCTGAGTGAGGTAACCCAGACCCAAAAAAGCAAACATGGTATGTATTACCATATATGTGTCATATGTGAATGTTAGCTTTTAAGTGTTCAATAAGCAAATAACCATAAAAAGTTAGATATAGAGTAAGGGACTAGGGTGGGGTTGGGAGGTGTCTCCCAAGTAAGGAGAAATCGATTGTGGAGGGATGGATGGGTAAGGAGGGACTAGAACCGGAGAATTAAACAGAAAGGGGAAGAGAAGAGGGAAGGGATGGAAGGAATATGGGGAGGGACAGCTAATACTAAGGATCATTTGAGGGAAACCTACTACAGTAGAAGCTTCTTAAAGTACACAGATGAAAGAAATCCAAATGGAATCACCACATAAGCAACCAAGGAGAGAAAGCCCCAATTAAGCATCTCTCACCAGCAAGTGAAACTTCCGATGCCAGGAATGGGTTACATCTAATTGAGTTGCTGGCCAGGAGAGAGGTTGAGGGCAGGCACAAAGGAGCACAGTAGAGAGCAAGTCTCAGGTATGGGCTATGGTAAGGACTTTAGCTATGAGTGATGACATGGGATTGAAGGGTCCTGAATGGACAAGCCTTTCTAGCTTGCATGCCAACAGGATCACTCAGCTGCAGCAATGTCTGTGAGGGGGCAAGACAGGAACAGCCACCAGTTGCTACAAGGGCATTGCTAATGGAGTAATCAATGAGCACCATTCATCTTTACTGAATAATGAGAATGTCAATTCAAACAAGTAACTGCACCAACTTTTATCAGCTAAACAGGAACACAGAATAACTTGATTTTCTTAACAGAGTAACTTGGGGTTTTTTGTTTTTGTTTTAACTCTATACAAGCTACCCTGCCCTTAAAAAACAAGTCTGCAGCACCAAGCAGGAGCAGTTGATATCAGTAACGAGCAGCTGAGGGCTTGCCTGTCACCTCTTACTCTGGGTGTCTAAGCTCTATGAGGAAAGCAAATCAGTTAGCAAAGAAACACCAAATGAGCCCATGGATTCCAAAGCATGGCAAAGTGAAAAAGGCCAGGAAGCCAAAACTCAACAGAACACAACCTCTGGCCTCAGTAAGCTATGGCTAGCTTCATGCAAACATCAGTTAGGACTCAGCGCTACTCCATCAGCTTCAGGGAAGAGTCAAGAATCTTCCAGGTAAGGAGCATTTCTAACCCTTTGACAGACAGTTTATTAAAGACAAGGGGCAGCCATAGGCAGCAATGAGATCAAATCTTGCATGGAAGAGAGTGGTGCATCTTCCCGGGATGCATGCCTCAGAGGTCACAGCTGTGAGACTGTCTGCTGTTCCTCACTTTGTTCAGAGTTGTTCATTTCCAGTGCACTGCTCTGGTACCCACAAGTGACTGTACCAGAGGTTTTAGTAAAAGCCCCTTTGGGGCTGGAGAGATGACTCAATGGTTAAGAGCTGCTCTCATAGAGTAACCGGGTTCAATTCCCAGTCCCTATATGGCAGCTTCCTATTGTCTCTAACTCCAGTTCCAGCGGATCTGATGCCTTCACATAGACACACATGTAAGCAAAACATTAATGCACGTAAAACAAAAATAAATTTTAAAAAAATATAATAAAAGTTCCCTCTGTAGCATCTTAGATATTGAGTTTAAAATATATATAATTTACTAAATGAATGACTCAGGTAAAACCAAAGCCAGGCTTTTCCCCATCTCCTCATATCCACAGCCCCAACTGGCTCATATGTACTTTATACTCATTGGGGATTAAGTAATTACTTGTTTCAGTAGAAACAGCTTCCTGCCAAACTATAGTTAAGTCAGCAAAGAACTCCATCACTCCTTTTGCTAAACTTCATTGGGAACAATGTGAAAGCAATATAACTAGGCATGATTCCCTCACAAATAAGCAAGATAATCAGAAGCTGGTAGAACCCTGTGAGCAGTGCTGAGGAAGCTGTGGAAGTCACATGCCACCAACGGGTTCTACCCACTGTCCCCACAAATGTACAACCAAGACAAGCTTGTAAGAATCATCAGCAAGCTGATGTGGTGGCCCACACCTTTAGTCCCAGCACTCGGGAGGCAGAAACAGGCAGATCTCTGAGTTCAAGAGAATTACACAGAAAAACCCTGCCTTGAAAACCCCTGCCACTCCTGCTAAAAAGAAGAAATTGTCAGTAATAATTAAAAAAAAAAAAAGGAAGAAAAGAAAAATACTGATTACAATACTATCTGACATAAAAAACCCACAGTACAGGAAAACCCTGGGATCCTGTTAGGGGCAGCCAACATCCTAGTTTCAAGGAAGACCCATTCATATCAACCAAAGCACAGCAAATATCCATGGCTAGATGGTCCCTTTTGTAACATGAACCCAGTGAGTATCAAACTGAGAGTACAGAAGGTAGCTCTGGAGCTG